GGAAGGAAGGAGAGCAGGGAGGAGGTGCCTGCGATAATCCAGGCCAGAGAAGATGGAGGCCTGGACCAGGCTGTAGCAGTGGAAGTGGTAAAAAAGAAAGAAAGAAAGAAAGAAAAGGTCAGATTCCAAATATGAAGGTACAGCTGGTGGGATTTACAGACAGTTTGGATTTGGGGTGTAAGAGAAAGAATAATAAAGGACAACACGAAGGTTTTGAGTCACAGCAACCAGAAAAGTGAATTTGTTACCAACTGAACTGGGGAAGGCTGCAGGTGCCAGGGGAGGAAACCAGAATTTCGATTGGCACGTGTAACATCTGAGTTGCCTATCACAGCCCCGGGAGGAACTGTCAGTGGGCTCTCGGATGGACCAGCCTGGGTTCCCGGGAGAGGCCTGGAGGCAGCCATCACAGAGACAGGATTAAGGCATGAGCCGGGTGAGCCCACCAAGTGACTGAGCGGGGGCAGAGACAAGAGCAGGGCCCAGGAGGGAGCCCCAGTGGCCCAAAGGTTATGAGAAGGAGCCAGCAAGAGAGACAGAAGAGGGAGGAGAGAAAATGAAGAGAATGAGAGCTTCCAGGTCTGCTCCCTCCCTGCTTCCCTCACAAAAAGGAACCACATAGAGCCCCTGCCCTCAGTACAAGGGTCTCAGACCAGTTCTGCCCAGAGAAGACCCAGGGGACAGATAACACCAGGGTGCATGCTGAAGGACAGGGAGGATTTTAATAATCAAAAAAGAGGTTGGATATGATCCAGCAATCCCACTTCCTCAGCATATATCCAGAGAAAACCTAATTCGAAAAGATACATGCACCCCGACGTTCACTGCAGCACTATTTACAATAGCCAAGACATGGAAGCAACCAAAATGTCCATCGACAGAGGAGTGGATAAAGAAGATGTGGTACATATATACAATGGACTATTACTCAGCCACGAAAAAGAATGAAATAATGCCATTTGCAGCAACATGGATGGACCTAGACATGATCATACTAAGTGAAGTAAGTAGGACAGGGAAAGACAAATATTGTATGATATCATCTATATGTGGAATCCAAAAAAAATGATACAAATGAACTTATTTACAAAACAGAAACAGACTCACAGAAAACAAACTTAAGGTTACTAAAGGGGAAAGGTGGGGGAAAAAATAAATTAGGAGTTTGGGATTAGCATATACACACTACTATATATAAAATATATAATCAACAAGGACCTACTGTATAGCACAGGAAACTCTACTCAATATTCTGCAATAACCTATATGGGAAAAGAATCTGAAAAAGAATCAATACATATATATTGTATAACTGAACTGCCTTGCTGTACACCTGAAACTAACACAATGCTGTAAATCAACTATACTCCAATATAAAATAAAAATTAAATTAAAAAAATTTTAAAACAAGAGGTTGGGTGTTCCAGGCAGAAGGAACAGAATGTGCAGAGGCCCAGAGGCAGTTAGATGCAAGCCCTTTGGGAGTAAAGATTCCAGTTTGGCTGAGCTTTAGAGAATGGCAGGGACGGGGCAATTACAGGATAAATCAGAGCAGGGCTTTCCTCCTCTGGGCTGAGCTTAACTTTCTGACTGTCCAGAACCCAGCATGGACGGAACTGCTGGACCCTCTGGCTGCTGCATGAACCTTCTCTCTCGCTGTAACACAGAGCCGGGGGGGGGCACAGCCTCCCCACCCTGAGGTACCAACTCCCAAAACCTCCTGGCAATTTGCTACACCTGAGGATGACTCGAATGCAGAATACCCTTTGAGCCAAGAGTCCAAGAGTTAACTGGGGGTGGGGAGTCACAGTGACAGGAGGAAGAGGTTTTTAAGAGCTTCTGGTGATAGAAATCATCCCCAGCCAGCCCCCTGGTACCAGTTTTTACTTTCTCTCTCTATTTTAATTAAGTATCTGCCACTCACACATCCATGTTGCTGTTCCCTTGCCGGCTCTGCAGAGTTTAAATCAGAAGAGGTACCGAGAGGGGCACTGGACTGGGAGTCGGAGCTCTGATCTCCACTCCTGGCTCTGCCTTTAACTGAAGGGGAGACCTTGGGCAAGTCCCCTCCCCTCTTTGAGCCTCAGTTTCCACATGTGCAGAGTGAGGGGACTGCACCAGTCAGTCAGTAAGTGCCTTCTGCTTGCTCTGGCCGACGACAGCCTTTTAAACTCATGGCTTTTCTGATGACGTCCCCTGACATTCCCATCTTCAGCCCCTGTGTCTGTTTCAACTGCAGTTCACCATACCCTGCCTGGAACTCTCATAACCGTATGTTCCAAGAGTAATTATCTTCCAATTTCACCTTCCAATTGCATCTTAATTTAACTTTCATTGCTGGGTGCCTGCTGGAATGTCCCAGCGAAGCCTGATGATTTCTAATTAGGCTGCTGTTAGGCTAGTCCAGTGATGCACGACAGAGCGGGAAGAGCATGGGTCCCCGGCTCAGACAGACCTGGACTCCAAACCCAGCTCTGCCACACACTGGCTGTGTCACAATAACTAAGAGGATGGTGGTTACGAGATTCAGTCCCATGGAGTCTATGAACCACTGTGCTGCATGATCGGGAACTTCAGAGCCTGGCACACAGAAATCATTATATGAGGTCTAGGACTGCCGTCACACCGCAAAAGTAACCAGGTTTATGCTGGAGGCAAATGACTGGATGGCAGATTTCCTGGGACCAAACCTGCCTTTACGTGTATTCCGGCTCACTCCATCCCCCAGATTCTCAGAGAAGGGAGGGCTTGCCCAAGCCTCATGCAGGGAAACGTGGGAATACCGGATCGGCTCTCACCATTGTTTTAAGCGAGTTTTATTAGGAGTGTAGGAAAGAGCTAGCCTGGCTCTGTCCAGGCTGTGCCAGATCAGGCAGCAGTCCACCTCCTTCCTCCAAGGAGTGGCTTGCTGGGCGCTGAGACCCTGCCCCAGCCTTTTTCACTACTCAAAAGGGGAATCCCTCCTCCCACTCCCACCTCCTACCCTGCGACCAACACTCACTCACTGTCCAGGTGCGTACACGCCCAGCAAAACAGGGCCTGGACACAGGGAGGCGGCTACCACACTCCCAGGCCCCCAAGTCTCTCCTTTGTCAGATCAATCCAGCCAAACGTCTCCCATCTGCACCTCACTCCTAAGACAATGACTTTTTTCATCCAAAAGATTATACAGAGAAAAAGCCCACAACACCCACACAAACACACACTTTTTACACATACTCAGGGCAGCAGGATATGGTTCTAAGACAGCCAAAATGGTGGCTTCCTGTTTCTTCAGGGATGTGTGTTTTGGAGTACGGATTCGGACAAGGGTGTTGGTCGGAGAGAGAGCTGCCTTCTGCTAAATTCTAAGAGAAAAATATTAAAAGAGCAGTAATCGCTCCTTGTCAGGCAAATGAAGTTAGCTGGGGCTGCTGCCTTGCAAACTCGCCTCTAGGAGGAAACTTTCTGCCCTCCCCGCGGAGGAGTCAGGAACCCGAGAACTGGGTTCCAGGCACCGCCCATCTCTGACTCTCAGTTAATAAACCTGTTAAATGGCACTCCTCTGGAGGGATCATTATCTACTGTCAAACGCGTTCTGGATTTCACGGAATCCCTGGCCTAGCAAAGGCAGATTTGGAGAGCAGAGAAGCAAGGGCTTGGGAGGGAACGCCTGGAGTGCGGCTCAGCCTTGGCGTCCCCTAGGCGTTCGGTCCCCTGGGGGAGGCACAAAGAAGGCCCCGGGCCACGGCACTGCAGGAGGTTGGGGTGCGCCGCGGGTGTGTGTGTGTGTGATAATCTAGGGCTTTTTAGTTCATTCGGAGAGCGAGCTCCAAGTCTGGGCGTCTAGAAGAGAGAAGGGAGCAAGAATCCGCTAAGGGCGCGCCTCGGAGTAGCGAGAGACCAGGAATAGACCCCGCAGTGGGGAAGACCTCAGACGGTTCCCGTGGGCCAGGAGGGGCCTCTGAGGGGCCAGCGAGGGCCTGGCGGGGACCCCGAGGAGCAGGAGTAAGGATTTAGGGTCGCGACCAAGTCGCCTTTGCGAAGGGAGCGTCATTCCCCGCTGCGAGGGGACCCTCAATACCGGGACCGCGGTGGGAGCGGGATACGGCCGTACGTGGCCAGGGTGCGGCCTCGCCGAGACCGAGGGTGCGTCCCCGAGGCTGGGCGTCTCGGACAGGGGCAGCGGCCCCCGATGTTCTCGTCCTCCTCGGCGAGGGCACTCGTGACCCGCCCATACCTCGGCCGAGGCAGAGCAGAGTGGGAAGGTCGGGGGTTTCTCGGCAGCTCGCTCCCGGCGCCCCGCGGGCTACAACTTGGAGCGCCTGGCGGGGGCCCCTAGCGCGCGTCCCTCGGCGCCTGAGGTCGCGCGGAGCCTCCTACCTGCTCTGTTCATCTTCCAGCGCGCGGAGCCAGGGGCCGCCCGTCGGTGCGTCCGTCCTTCCGAGCACGAGTCCGCGCGCCGCCTCACTCCATGGCCGCCCCGCGGGGCCCGCACCCCGTGGCGCCTGCCCCGCCCCCGGCGCGCGCCGGACTTCGCGCAGCGCGCAGGGCAAGTGGGGGCTTGGGGGGTGCGAGCCTCCGGGGCTGGGCGGGGCTGGGCGGGGGCAGGGAGGGGAAGGGGCGCGAACGCAGGGCGCGCGGCGTCGCGTTCACTCAGGACTCCGCGCGGCGCGCAGGGCCAGGGGGGCGCAGGGCGCGAGCCTCCGGGGGCGGGGCCGGGGGCAGCGGCCGGGACAGCGCGCGGTGTTGCGTCCGCTCCTGGCTCCCAGCTCCGCGCGCGCTGCGCTCTGGCCGCCGCGCTGCTGCCCGTGCCGCCGCTGCCCCTCCGCCCCCTCCTAGACGTTTCCTCCCGCTCCCGGAGAGGAAGCCTTTTTTTTTTTTTTCTCTCCCCTTTCTGCTCTGTCAGGGATTGAGGGAGCCGAGGGGCGAGGCGTCCCCGCGCACATTTAAAGGGGCCATGGCCGTGGGGACTCGGGGAGCTGCGCGAGGTTCAAGGCACGAGGGTGGGAGGGGCGGGGTGAAGCTGGCGAGTTGGGCTCCTGGGGACTTCCTGGTCCCTTCGCCCAGCGGACCGTCTATCACTTTATTTTCAACCTCGGGCGTTCATTCAGTCCTGGGCCCAGCACCGTGCTGAGCGCAGAACAAGACAGCCCCAAATTCTTGCCCTAGTGGAGCTTAAATGGGATGTCAGTGGAGACACAAGACAAATAAGCACTAAACATCATTTCAGAGAGTGATGGGTGCCTTGAGGGAGATAAACCAGGGTCGTGGGGCAGAGTAATTTTTAAAAATGCAAATTCTCAGGGCCCGCCCCAGACTTAACTGAATCAGAAATCCCGTGTTTAGCAAATCCTTCAGGTCCTTCCGATGCAAGCTAGTTTGAGAACCTCTGGAGTAGAGAACAGGTGATCAAGGAAGGTCTCCCTGAGGAGGTGACATTGAAAGGGAGACCTGGTAGATGAGGAGCCTTTGTCCACTCAGCGCTCACCAGCCAGCACCTCGCTGGGACCAGGCCTGGTGCTGGGTGACATGGATGACTCAAGCCTTCACCCTTGAGCACCCGTTGGATTGGCCACTCAAACATAGGCAGTTCTGCTTCCCCGGACAAGTGCTGGGATGGGGACAGGAGCTTGTGGGAACTCAAGAGGTGGCCCCTGAGTGGAGAGGGTTCCAGAAAAAAAAAAAAAAAAGGCCTTTCAGATGGAGGGAGTAGCTTGGGCAGAGACTTAGATGTGTGAAAAGGCATGGCCTGATGGAAGAGCCATGAGGGGTTTGGCAAGGCAGGGAGATAAAGGGTGGCAACATCTGATAAGAGGCACAGAAGGTTGGGGTGAGGCGTGCTTTGAAAGCCATACCAAGGGCTTCCTTCCATCAGCCATTGAAAGCTGAGGGCAAGGGTCATGTCTCTCATCTATAACTGGCAGCCAATACTTATAGAGCACCTACTGTGTGCCTGGCAAGGTGTTAAGCTCTGTACCTGCATATTTACTCGTTTAAGCCTCACCACGACTTTATGAAGCTGGTATCAAAATTCTTCCCATTTTACATTTGAGGAAACCGAGTAAACTAAGAGTTCACATGAGCTTTCCTGACTGTTCTTGCCCTGGCTGTCCCATGTCTGCATCTCCAGGACCCAGCTCAAGGTGTGGCTTGGTCATTTAGTAGTTTGGTTGTGAGCCCACTACGTGCCAGGGTGTAGGCGCACAGCAACCCCAGCACTCTGTGGGAGGGTGTGGGGCTGGGGCATCTCAATTCATTCAGGCGATTCAGCCAATGTATCTACTACGTGGGAGTAGGTGGCGGGGGGGACATGGAACATATCCCCCCGCACCACCACCATCCCTTCCTGTCCCTCATTTGGGGATGAAAGGCCCAGAAATGGCCCCATGCCAGGGTGATGACTCCAGGGCAGGGGCTGTGTCTGCTCTGCTTACCCCTGCAGCCCTGGCATCTAATAAAGAACCCAGCACTTAGTAGGTCTTCAAAAAATATGTGTTGTCCACAAAAATAAAGGCCTGGGACAGAGGTTCAGACTATTGTTTGGGATCACTTTGGTTTTCTGGGACTGAAGGTGGCAGAGGCTAGAATTTTTGTGACTTTGACCAGCTGTGCTGGGAGCTTGTGAGGAGGCAGAATTCCAAATGGCCATGAGGCATTTCGCAGCCTTGGCTGTCCTCCCTGAACCTAGATGCCTTCGGTCCAGCGTTTGGTCCAGGCAGTCCCAGACAACCATATGTTTTCATTGCACAGATGAAACACTTCTCTGAGCATCGTCTGTGGAGCCCAGCAACAGCAGCACTCAGAGGCTTCTTAAGAATGCAGAATCCCAGGCCCCACCCCAGCCCTACTGAACTAGAACCTGCATTTTAACAAGACCTCCAGGTGATCTGTTTATACATCTGGAGAAACACTGCCCTGGATAACTCACCGCATTACTTTTTGACCAGATGTGCTGCCAAAGTCCACAGAAGTAGAGAAGAGACTTCCCCAGGTTCTCACTGGGGTGAGAACTTAATCCTCTGACCTCTGTCTCCTTATTAATACATTATTGGAAGGTGCGTAGGTTTCTGGATATCTGGGGGCCTGCACCCAGCAGAACTCCTGGTGCATATTAGGTGCTCACTAAAACTATAAAACTTGTATGATGGTCTGATTTGAATTGTTTCATGAGCCAGTTGGTGCCTGACACAGAGGATGTTCAATGCACACATACTGAAGACAGGAATCAATACATTTCAGTTAGATAATGTGGAAAGGCTCTGGGGAGGTGAAACTCTTGTTTCCCGTCATTATGAAAAATCTTATGTTTTCACACTCACCAAGCACTTCCATATACCTAACCAAGTTTGTAGGTTTTGTCTTGTTTTTATCTTTTAATGCCCACAGTATAGAATCAGATTATGTGCATTTCAGGCAAGGGCCTAGGGTGTACCTCAGTTTCTCCAAATTCAGAAATGAATCTGATCCTTTCAAAGGACTTATTCGTCTCTGAACCGCTACAGGGTCCTTAAGCGTCCAGCCTTTTGTGGGGAAAACCTTTTGCCTCTGAAATAGGAAATCAATGGCAGAATTTGTGTTACTTAGGCCCTTCATAAACTTTATGGATCCCTGCGTGGAAGCGGTGGAGAAGATGATGGAGGTGATGGAGGAGGTAGGAAAGGTCGTGTTGGAGGTGAAGGACGAGGGGGAGGGGGAGGTGGTGACAGGATAGAAGTAGCTGTGAACATCACGGTTAGGGTAGAAGGCGTGAGGTAGTCGGAGGTGGTGGAGGACGAGGTGGATGGAGGTTATGGATTTGATGGATGTGGTGGAGATGGTGGCCTTGGAGGAGGTGACGGAGGTGGAGGTACAGAGGGTGGGAGGTGTCCGTTTGAATATGGGTACAAATGAGTGAGTGGATCAATCACTTCAATATTTGATGCAAGAAGAAAATATGTTTTAAGAGCTGAGATCATTTCCGGGAATTAGCAATAAAACCCAAAGAACCTAGGACCCCCAATGCAGGAGCAGGAGAGGGAGGCTCAGATAATTCAATCAACGGCCAGCTTACCCTTTGCTGTAGGGCCTGTGGAAAGAAGCAGGGAGGGCAGGAAGGGACCTCAGTGCTTGGCTAAGACCTTGCCATGACTGTTGAATTTGGGATTTGAGGCTAAGCAAAGTCTACTTTAAAAGATCATAGCACCAAGGGCAGTTGGGGAAAAAAAACCCAGGTCTGAACTTGTTTAGCTGAAACCACACGGTGGTGTGGAGTGATGGGCCATGAAGCTGAAACGCTTATTCCTTTGTTTGCTTTTCCTAATACGAGAAAATGGATGGGAAAGACCAGAGGGCTTTCCAAACATCCAGAGCTGATACTGGTGGCTGGACTTGCTTAGTCCTTGTGGAACTGAGCTATAACCACTCACTGAGCTCAGGGATGCGGTCAATAACCATGTGGGGGGTGATGACCCATCATCTCTCTGGGTTTGAGCCTTTCACACACATACTCTTCCCAAGAACCCTATAAAGTGTTTCTTATCTCCCCATTTCACACTTGGGAAAACTGAGGCCCAGACTGGGGAAGTGACTTGCCCTTCCAGCCCAGCCAGGACTCACCCCCCCTTCACTCTGAGAACATGTTCCTAACTACCAGGCTACACTGATTTCTCTGTGATGGGCACAAAGTCTGCCTAGATTTCATGCTTTCCAAATCACTCACCATCTTACTTGCTCCTCTCAGCAGACGTGAGCCACCCAGGGTAGGTGTTATGCCCACTTGACAGACACGGAAACTGAGGTCCAGAGGGAAAAATAACTGGCCTGGGATCCTACGGTAAGTCAGGGGATTCCAGCGCTGGGATCCACACCCCCTGAGATCCAGGCCCAAGTCGGAATGATGTGGAGCTCTGCATACAACTTAAGTCACCTCAGATCAAAACCACTGAAATTCAGCTCCCTGTTCCCGCCTGCCTGAAGCCTCGGCAAAGTGCAGAGCCAGCACCGAAGCTGGATGTGATCTCCAGAAACAGCGCCCAGGCTCTGTGAGCTCCACGGCCAAGCCTCCCAGACAGGCGGTAGAGTGCAGTGGTCAGGAGCCACACTGACCTGGGTGTGACCTGGGCGGGAGGGCAGGTCCCAGCCTCAGCTTCCCCATTGGTAGCTAGTATTTGCTGAGCGCTTATTTGGTGCATTCAATAAGTCTTTTGCATATATTAGCTCATTTACTCCTCCCAACAAACAAACTCCTCCTGCCCCTGAAGTAGGCAATGTTATTACCCCTGTGTTACAGACAAGGCTACCAAGGCACAGAGAGGCTGAGGCATTCGCCCAGGGATACATAGCTAGTGAACAGTGGGGATTCCACCCTGGCTCTGGGGCTGGCTTTCTTACCCACCTCAACACGCTGCTGCCCTGTCAAGGATATGATAATAGTGTCTGCTCATTAAATGAGATGAATGATCTAAAGCATCCAGGAGGGGAGAGGGGAAGACAGGAGGCGCTCAAGAAATGATCATTATCATTTAAACATCTAGTACAGAGTTGGTGTTCAATAAATGCTTACAAACAAAGTACACCGGGAACTGGGCCACGCACACCCCACGATCAGAGCAGGAGAGGGATGGGAGAGAGCATTTACTGAGCAGCCTCTGTATACTGGGATGGGTGAGAGGGGGCAACAGGGGAGCCCCTCGGGAGCACGGGGAGGCAGTCTGGACCCTGCTTCCTGGCCCCGGGGTGGGGGAACGATCGGGGTTTTGTTTACCGCTGAGATGGGGGCGCTTCCATAAAGCTGGGGCCCAAGGCCAGCTACCTTCGCATCCCTCTCTGTAGCAGAGTCCCCCTGGTTTCCCGGTTTCCACGAGGAGCAGCTCTATGCCTTTTGTCTCCGGGGATAAAATGCATGTTATGAAAACGGAAATGACCCCGGCTCTGCAGCCTCTTTGTGCTTTTGGACTGCTCACCCCACAACGCCACGGCTGCGACATCATCAGCTTCAGGGCTTATCTCCCCCTGGAAAGTAATTGAGTTGCCTTCCTGGCTCCAGGGGTGGGCAGATCTGAGCCAGACACCTGCCGGGGCGGACTCGGCTTAGCAAGGCCGCCCCTCCCTTCCTGTGCCCCAAAGACCGGGCCCTCACCCCCACCCCACTGCACACACCGGGCCAGGCACGAGCAGAGGGAGAAGCGGGGCTCCTGAAGGCCCCTGGTTTCACCAGTCACTGGCTCTGTGGCCTTGGGCGGGGGGTTTCACCAGTCACTGGCTCTGTGGCCTTGGGGGCAGGGACACTTTGCCACTGTGCACCTCAATTTTGTCCTCTGTAAAATGGGAACAATGAGACCTTTCTCTCGGGGTCATGGTGAGGATGAAAGGATGTTATTTCCCCTCTCTCTTCCCTTTCCTGTCCTTGAAGAGCTCATGGCTTGGTCTGAGAAACGGGCCTGGGTCAGCTAACAGTGACACAGTAGAGCTAGGGGTGAAGGCAGAAGATTGAATGGGCTCATTGGGCTGGGCTTTAAAGTGTCATTTACAGGTGGAGGGGTAGGGTTGCTGTTCAAGGTGAGGGTACAGCCCGTGGGGATGGAAGAGGAGGGCAGGATTGGGGCAAGGTGAGAAGTGTGCTCTGGACAAGCTCTCCAATGGCTGGCCAAAGAGTTTGGACTTTACCTTGCTGGTGATGGGGAGCCTTAGAGTGTTTCTGGGGGAGGGAGTGACACGGCCAGACCCGTGTTGTAGCCGGAGTGGGAGGGGAGCCAGAGGGACAAGTCCGGAGGTAGGATGGCCCAAGGAGGCTGGGGCAGGGACCCCAAGAGAGATTAGGCCTAAATTTATGAATGTTCCTGACCCACGATCGCAGGGCTCAAACGCATGCTAGGAAGGCTTCCAGGAGGAGGCAAGCTTTGCTCTGCACCCTGGAAAAAAATCACACAAGCAGAGGGGAGCAGGAAAGGGCCTGCCACACAGCGGGTGGGAGTGGGAACTGGGGGTCAGTAGCCCAGTTAGGCTGATGTGTCCGGTGTGCAGGGATGGGTGAGAGGGACAGGCAGGGGCCCCAAAAGCCTTTGTGCAGCAGGCCTTTGACTCCCCAAGGAAGCGCTGAGCTCTGGGGGAGGGGAGTCTGAGGCTGGGCAGGGCCACTCGGAGTTTTTATCACCACTGGGTGGGATCCAGGGTCTGTGGAGGAAGTGACCGCCCTCTTCCGGCCAGCCATTTTTTTTCCTTCTGCTGCCCGTTTGGCTTTTTCCTGAGGCCGCATTTCCACAACGGCCCCTCCTGGCTCGCTGGGCGTGGGCATGGCTCCACCACACACCCAGCATTAGGGGTGGCCCGGCGCTAGGCTTCCTGTCCCTCTTTGGGCAGGCTGATTGGAGGAAAACAGCCCTCGAGCCTTCTTCAAAACAGGAAACTGCTCTCCCTGCTTCCTGAAGGACAGGAACTGTCCCCATGGCAACCATGGGACAAAGAGGCCATGTTAACCCTTCTGAGGTCAGGCCTGGCTGAGGCCCTTTCTTACCAGCCCCTCGTGGGTGTGGCACTGTACAGGTGACATCCTCCAAGTCTCACCACCATTCTGAGGGCAGGGCGGGGCAGGGACTTCATACCCATCGGATGGATGTCAACGTGGAGTTCAACTCCGAGGGCAAAGGCGTGACCACACCGCGAGCACACGGTGGGGTCTGAGGTCAGCTGTCTCCGTTGAAGTCTTGGCTGTGCTGGCTGTGTACCTGGAGCAGGTGACTGAACCTTCCAGCCTCAGTTTCTCTACCTGTGAAACAGGAAACAGCGCGGGGCTGTTGTGAGCGTCCGCTGAGTTCACTGCTCGTCCAGCGCGTACTCGCTTGTGCTATGAGCTGTTCTATGCCCTGATGGCAGCGACAATGACACGAATGACAACCTCCTGCCTCGTGGGCTGAGTGTGTAGATGGGGGTCAGGAGGTCAATAGGCCCACATGTCCGTGCAGACCAGAGACTTGCAGGGAATGACCTGCAAGGGCTGCGGGTGGGGGAGGGGAGCATTCGGGCAGCTGGGGCGGCAGGTGTGCTATCTGGGGATCAGCGAGGCACAGGCGAGGGGGGGAGCAGAGAGCCTTTGGGTCTATCCTCAGAGCAAGGCGGAGCCAAGGAGGGTGAAGCAGGCCGGGCATGTTCTGATTCGCATGTTTAAATATCTGCCTCTGGCTGTGCGGACATGCAGTGACAGGGACTCTGAATGGTGTGTTTCCTGGGGGGGCTTTGCCCAGGACCCTGGAGAGACCTGAGTCATGGGGAGACACCATCTGTGCTGGTGCTGGGGAGCAGGGCAGGGCGGGGACTCCATGACCTGCCCCCAGTGCTGCCACTGTTCAGGGGCCCAGCCTTTTCCTTGACGGCGCACCAGGACACACCCAGCCTCCCTCCCTCCGACGCCCAAGGGCTGCTGCGAGGAGGATGCGGTGGACGCAGCTCCCGCACTGTGGCAGAGGCTGCTCTCCTCGCTGCGGCCTCCAAGATCCCACACTCCCTGCCTCACCACGCCCCCTCCCCACCCCATCTCCCACCACCCTGGGCTCCGGCCACACCGGCCTTCCTCTCCATCCCAGACCCTGCCCGGCTCCCTCCGGCCCCTGGGACTTGTCCTGCTCTCTAAAATGCCTTCCCAAATGCTCACGTGGCTGGGCTGACCCCCTCATCCGCCAGGTCTCCAATGTCACCTCTTCTCAGAGACAACCCCACCCCTCCAGTCCCTCAGCATCCCCTCACCCAGTGTCTCTTCTTCACCTGCACTTACCTATATCTGAGATCGTCTCAGGATTTATCTGTTTCCCTATGTGGTGTCCGTCTACCCACCTGGTACGACAGCTCAGGGAGGGCAGGGCGCCCGGAGCAGAGCCTGGCACACAGTGAGAGCCACTCTAATATCTGCTGCGTACCGAAGGGACGATACTGACAGAGGCCCCCCTTCCTGGGCCTTATCACCAAACCCCTGCCCACTTCCACAGTCTGAAGAGATGTGGTCTCTCGGCCAGGAAGGCAGCTCTCAAGAGGAGTTGGTTGGAGGTGAGGGGAGCAAGGGTTAAATGCCTGCCCTGTAAGGAACTAGTTTTGTTCACGAATGTTGACAATCACCAAGAACTGTGTAGGGGACTCGTGCACGGGGAGGGATGTATCATTATCCCCATTTTTCAGATGAGGTAACTGAGGCGCAGAGAAGCAAAGTCTTGAGCCCAAGACCACACGGCTGGGAGGGGGCGGAGTTGAGGGGAAACCCAGGGGCCTGTGCCTTTCTCCTTAGCCTTCCGAAGAGCTGAAAGGGGCCTCACGCACAGGTGAGAAAAGGTGATTGACTTTCTGAAAAATCTCCAAGGCTTTGTCAAGGCCACTGCCATCGGCCACATCATTGGGTTAACGTAGGTGAACACAAACTTCCTGGACTGAAGCACACTCTGCGCTGGTTAAAGTGCGAACTCCAAAACCCCATTCCAGGCCCAGTGAGTTAAGCCTCCCTGAGGTCGAGGTGGAGAGTCTTCATTTTGGGAAACACGGGGTTGAGGCTGTGGAGGCCGCACTGTGAGTGGAGACTGGTCTGGGAGGAGCACAGGGATCCTTTCCAGCCAAAAAGCCTGAAGTTCCAACTGGGTCATCAGCTGAGAGCCTGTCCATTGATAATCTCAGGGTGTGGAGGAGTGTCTGAGGGGGCATGAGCATGTCCATACCCTGCCCTGCCAAGCTGGGGCAGCCCTGGGAAGGCCTGCCAGGCAGTCGATTCCATCCTCCGACCTCTGACCTCCTACCTGCTCTTGACTTACCCCAGGGACAGGGAGCTCATGTCCTCACAGGGCTCTCCTCCCCTTGTGAGACATCTTTGTGGAATGGGGGTGGCAATGTCACCTTCCAGGATGCACCAGCAAGGCTGGCGATTTTAAAACAGGCATTTGGATGAGCCACCAGGCCTGACTCCTGATTTATTTTCCGGAATGGAGCTCTGCCCCTCTGCCGGCTGGTGGCAGAGGGTGGGGGAGCGGCTCTGCAAGGACCATGTTAATTAGCTTGATAAGCCCGTGTGCACCCGTGCGGAGGGACCCAGAGGCAATGTGACCGCCTGTCATGGACACCATCAACTTCTGGGGTGAGCTTCCTCTACGTGAAATCCAGACACTTAGGGAAATGAACCCGACACCATGAAAACACTCAGCACCCTGGGCACCAGTGCACTGCACCACAACTGGGCGTCTCCATCCTTCTAGAAGAGGCTGCAGTCAGCACGCATGGTACCCTGTGGGAGCTGCCTCCGAGCTGCGTCTGGCAGGGGGGCTACAGGCTGGAGCCTTATCCTCTTCAGCTCAGAGGAGCCCCTAGGGAGGGGACAGCGTGTGAGGGAGGGGACCTTCAGCACATGGTCTGACAAATTCTGATGATCTCACAGTGTGAGCTGGGGACAGAGCCTGACAGCTCAGAGTTTGGGACGAGGGTGTGGACTACACACTGGGGTTTGAGCCCCAACCCCCGCCCCATCTCTCAGCCCTGAGCTCCTGGCAAGTCCTTGTCCCGCTGGGTGTCCCCCTCATTTATAAGATGGGGCATTTCTAGCACCTACCGCACGTGCCCACTAGGGGAGATGAAGTAAGATGATGACCCTGCAGTGCTTAGCCCGGTGTCTGTTATGTAACATGCGCTCAGTATGTTAGATATTATTCCTAAGTATTACTAGTGAAGAAGTATCTGGCACAAAGCAGGCCATCAGTTAGAATTTGATGTCTTTTATTGTTTGTGAAGGTCTAACCTCACTGACTTGACAGTTTAATGTTTAACTATAAATAAAATTTGTTCACACTTTACTAATGAACAGGCAGCAGCATCCAGACTTTGCTCTGGGGTCCAGTCAAACTCTTAAAGTCCGAGGATGATTTGCCTCCCTCAGGTTGCAGACACTCCTGCCTACATAGATGTGGGCTCGGTGCCTCCTCAAACTGGTGGAGCTGTGGTGCTTGACATGTTATGTTTAATCACCACAGGCACTCTGTGTGGCAGGTATGATTATACCCATTTTACAGATGAGGAAACTGAGGCCCAGAAATTTGCCTGGGAATACATAGGCAGCGAGCAGCAGACGGTTGTGATCCCAGGTCTGTTGTAACCACATGGCTGGTGCTTTTCCCATTGCACTTAACTCAGGATCTCCCCAACCAAAATGGAGATGATTTCCCCCCAAACAGTGGCAGTCGCAGCACTGATGAGGGTTTGAGGGGTTCCCTGTGACCAGGGCACATGTGGGGCGGGTGGTAGAGCAGTATTTGTAACCCCCGGCCTTTCCTCTGACATTCATTTCAACCCCATTTATGGGCACCCTTTTTGTGCCAAGCCTTGGAGGGAACCTGGGGGGTCAGACACACTCAGGGAGCAAGCGAAAAGCATCACAGCTAGGACCGGCCGTGCAATTGTGGGGCCAAGTGCAAAGCGAAAATGCAGTGCCTCTTGTCTAAAAATTAAGAATTCCAAATTGTGACAGTAGAACATGGGGGTTTAAACCAAGCACGGGGCCCTCCTGAGTGTGGGTCCCCATGTGGCTGTGATGGCCGCACACTCGTGAAGCTGGCCCTGCGCACACCAGCACTGCAAAAACAGCACCTCCGAGTGCCCAGCCCACAGCCTGGCACAGAGTAGGAGCCAAGTACACATTCATTGAGCAGTGAGTTCCCCCAACTCTGTGAGATGGACACCTGATCATGAATTTGCAGCTGGGTAAACTGAGGCTCAGGAAGGCTCCCGTCTCTCCAGGCCTCACCAAAGCCCAGGTCGTGGCCTCCTGCTTGGCGTGCTGGCCCACTGTTCCATGTTGACCCCAATCCTGACCTTTGTTTTCCTGATCCCAGAAAGAAGGGGTAATGTTTACCACAGGCTGAAGTTTATTTTATTTTTGTGTTTCCCAATAATTGATTCCAACAGTTCCTACAGACGTCCTGCTGAAGGAAAACATGTTTTGCTCACTCAACCTTCGACTTCCTCGCGGCGCCAACGGTGGTGGGGGCCCACGGCCACAAGGAAAGCGTGGGGTGACTTTTCCCTTGGTTATTTTATTTTTTTTCCATCTCGCTGTCGGGGGACAACAAAACATGTTTTCCTTTTTCTCCAAAGGAAATCGGAACTTTCTTATTGACTACTTGTTGCCTAAATTTCATCTTCCTACTCCTGTGATTACCTTGGACTGGGTGAATTATGTGAGAAAACTTCAAAATAAAGGACTGTCTGTCACTTTACTGAAAGGACAACCATCACAACCAAAATCTTCATTCACATGAAGCCACTGATGCCACCGAAATTCACCTTGCCTTCCTCATCAGTGTCTGTGCATGCTCTTGAAGTGGCTTTATTATTCCAAGTTCTCACATTTTCTCATAAGGTTACCTTCTTCAAAGTGCAGGACTAGGGAAACTTACACAGATCCAATGTTCTGGTCAAGATGATGGCTGCCTGGAGTTCACTGAAGCAGATATGGGCGTATGGTGTGAGGTAGGGGTCAAGGATCTTTTCTCCCCCATGTGCATATTCAACCAATCCAGCAGCATTTATTTAAAATTCATCATCCTTATTCCACTCCACTGCAGTGTCTCCGTTGTCATAAATCTGGTGATGCCACCCATGTTGGTCTAGTTCTGGACTTTCTATTCTGTTCTCTTAGTCTAGTTGTCTATTTCTGTGCCAAGGCCACCTGTCTTAATCAATGTTGTGTCCACTGAAATAGATAATCATGGTTTGCTTAATAACTCCTCTACTACTGAACATTTAGGT